TTAAGATGATATGGTAACCTACTTTCCCTGGTTTTGGGATGAATTATAGCAACAAAGCTTTCCATTTTCATGCATTCAAAACATTAAAGTCAGGCACAATACCCACAACCGTTCTTCTGGGTTTCGTTTCCTCCTACCACTTTAGTTACTAAAACGTGCCAACAACTGCCAACAAGATGATCCATTGGCAAAATTTTTTTTTTAGTAATCAGTAGATTGACATTCACATGACTATCCCACAAAAGAAATAGAGAAAGCGAATGACAGGATACAACTCAAAGGATAGAATCTTCATTATCCTCCATTCTCCAATACATTCTGTAACATAAAAAGTAAGAGTCCAGAATACAGATATGTTTTCCATTTCAAGTATTATGCATATTATAATATGATGTTTACTTGATTTTCTAAGGGAAATGGACATCTATCATGAATTATTTTATCTTTATTTTGTACTAGAAAGCTTCTTTGCGTGGGACATGTCAGCTGGATCACAACGCATGGATCAGATTCATTTACTTTTCCAGGCATTTCCTGCATATGCCTAACTTGAACTTACAGGCAGTCAAATTTTATGATCAATTCTTTATTGAAGAATCACATATCAACCAAATAGATATTAATAAAGAATGCAAAATAATATCAATCCATATCTCCTCACCCAATCAAGAGAATATTACTGGCGAACTAACATTGAAATGTTCACTCCCTTTCTCACCAACTACTTGATCCCAAAATTCTTTCTTGGGCGGTAAAGTTTCCCTAAAATCTGAAATTGTCAAGATTTCTTTATTCCCTACCAAAAGTTCATGTTGTATAAAGAACAATTAAAACAATTATGGATAAGAATACAAAACAGATGTAGACAGTGCTACCGTTCATCGTATATCATATGTTATGGGGATTAACTTTCTATTTTCTTTTACCTCTTCCTGTTGGGGAGGGTGGGGTGGGGTTTGATGGGTCCTGGATGTTCATCACTCTGTTTTCTTGGTGGGTCTAGGTTCTCTATATAATAAAGTGTACATAGAAGGGAGCCATAGCTTCTGAAACAACCTCAGCAAGCCACCCTAGCCTATCCGGGTACACACCTTCTGGTGGAAGAGAAACCCAAGTCACTTTTAGTCATTTCTTCTTCAACCATCTTCTTAAACTTTACAACTAAGATAGCTGAGAGTCTTTCCCTTAAATAGAATCCACAGACCCTCCACCTATAACTCTTTAAAAGCTTCTCATTTCATGTGTGAAACCTTCACTCATGGCCGTTTTTCTGGTTCTCTTTCTGCTATCCAGACTCTTCATCAACTCAGAATCTGTAAGCAGAGCTGATTTTCCTCAGGGATTCATATTTGGAACAGCTTCTTCAGCTTACCAGGTAATGTTACATGTTCTATTTGGTTTTGGCTGGATGGATGGAGGAGAAAGAGGTTGCTTAATTATGAGGAAACCTTGTATTGGACAGTATGAAGGGGCTGTGCATGAAGGAAACAAGGGAGCTAGCATATGGGATACCTTCACAAAGCAGCCAGGTAAGATAGAATAATTGAAGAACAATTCAGTATTGGATTAACTACAACAGAGAAGATTGCAATGCTTATACATGGTATGTGTTTTAACAGGAAGGATTTTGGACTTAAGCAATGCAGACACGGCAGTGGATCAATACCATCGGTTTGAGGTGAATTACACATGTTAATTGATTTTTCAATGTGCATCAATACAGTTCTACACATGAACAAATCCTTCCTTCCCTCCCCTCTCCCTTCCATTCCCCCTTTCCCTCACCTAACGTTGACTTTCCCGAGTTCATCCAGAAGAAAGCAACGTTAATTTTTTTTTTTTTTTTTTTTAACATTTCATGCCTTCAAAACGTGTCAGTTCAACTATTCTATTCTGTTTCCTCTTTGAATTTATTCTTCTAAAGGCAACAAGTTATGTAGAATCCAATTTAGATAAGAAAAGTGTCTGTAATATAATCATTCATGACGAAGATGGTTTTAATATATAATAATAACAAGAAAATTGGATGATATTGATGTATTACCAACAATAATAATAGAATATGGAAAGACAGGTCCATGAGGAATTCAATTAAGACTTGCATAGAGTAAAAAACAAGAAAAAAAAAAAAAAGGATCATTAGCCAATCCAAAGCTGTTGTTTGTCTGTTTCTAACCACCAGTGTTGAAAAAAACACGATTTTCACAGACTGATATAGATTTGATGAAGGATTTGGGAATGGATGCTTATAGATTTTCAATCTCTTGGTCCAGAATATTTCCAAGTAAGTTCCAACCAGTTCCACTACTTTATTAGTTTGCTTTAGCTCATCATGAGATAGCCATTGATTGCTTTAGAATTTACCATTGACAGATGGGACAGGGGAACCCAATCCAGAAGGAATAAAATACTACAACAGGCTCATTGATGCTTTACTAGAAAAAGGTTACTCATCAGAACCAACATAAGAGTTCACTTATTTGCAATATACCGTAATTGAAAGCCTTAGCTGTTCTTTCAATCAGGAATCGAGCCTTATGTAACTCTGTATCATTGGGATCTTCCACAGATGCTTGAAGATAAATATGAAGGATGGCTGAGCAGACAAATAATGTAAGTACCGTCAAATTGACATACAATCATTAAGACAACAAAATCCAGCTTTTACAAAAAAGCATGAAATTTATTACAGAGAAGACTTTGAGCATTTTGCATTTACCTGCTTTCAAGCTTTTGGAGATAGAGTAAAGCACTGGATCACCTTCAATGAACCTCATGGTTTCTCTATCCACGGATATGACTTAGGCATTCAAGCACCTGGAAGGTGCTCAATTCTAGGTGGTATACTTTGTAAGACAGGAAACTCCGCCTCAGAACCATATATTGTAGCTCACAACATTCTATTGTCTCATGCTGCTGCATATCACACCTACCAGCTAAATTTCAAGGTAATCATGTTCTGTTCAGTGTTCACAATTAATTCTATCGCCAGAGAGTGTTAGAAGTTACCTATCAAGTTAAAAGATCTCTGAGATCTTTTTTCAATCTTGAGTCTTGGTTTCCAGGAAAAGCAAGGAGGTCAAATTGGAATTGCACTAGATGCCAAATGGTATGAACCAATATCTGAAAGTGATGAGGACAGAGATGCAGCATATAGAGCAATGGATTTTGGAATCGGATGGTAATGTCTTAACCTAATGCTTAATGTTTATTTTATATTCAGGAACTAGTCAAGTCCCATGTGTCAACCAGTTTAAGATGGGTGTATTGCATCAGGTTTCTTGATCCACTCTTCTTTGGTGACTATCCTCTTTCAATGAAAAAGCTTGTGGGTGAGAGACTCCCTCTCATCTTGCCAGAGATATCCAGAATACTACTGGGTTCTCTAGATTTCATTGGAATAAACCATTACACCACTTTATATGTCCGGAATGACAGGACTCGTATTCGGAAACTAATATTTCATGATGCTTCATCTGATACTGCTGTAATCACTACCTGTAAGTGGCCACAGGATAGCCTTTTCCCTCTAAAGAACATCTACAATCAGACAATTAGTTAGCACAAACTAATGACTTTGTACATCTGAATTGTAGCATCTCGCAATGGCGTTGCTATTGGAGAAAGGGTATGTCCTAACCACTTACTGGGACCTAGAATTATAGGTTTCATCTAAAAGTTAGCTAATAAGTATTTCCTCCCTCAGGCAGCTTCCCGCTGGCTACATATCGTCCCATGGGGCATCCGTAAATTGGCAAGATATATTAAAGAAAAGTATGGAAATCCTCCAGTTATTATAACAGAAAATGGTGAGTATTTAAGTTTCAGAATCTTAAACCTTGAGCTATTATCAGTTGTGAAACAATCTAAATTCCTGCAGGTATGGATGATCTAAACAGTCCTTTTATATCTATGAAAAAGGCTCTGCAAGATGAGAAGAGGATAGAATATCACAGGGACTATCTCTCAAATCTATCTGCTGCTATAAGGTAAAAAAGCTCTACTTTTTGAGGCATTAGACTCTTCTTTATCTAGCTTACAGAAACTGTAAACTAAAACAGGCAAGACAACTGCAACATACGAGGTTATTTTGTGTGGTCTTTGCTGGACAACTGGGAATGGAACTGCGGCTATACTGTCCGATTTGGACTCTACCATGTGGACTACAAAAATAACCTCACGAGGATTCCAAAATCTTCTGTTCAATGGTTCAAAAGTGCACTCAGATTAAGAAGTAAAGGAAGCTATTTGATTGACCAGATTTAACACCAACAAATTGAATCTGTAACAAGTTTTACACAGAGCATTGATATTTCAAGAGAAAAAATGAACAATGAAACAAAGAGAAAACACGCCAAGAATCCCCCCGCCTTTCTCTTTGTTGGGACATCCCAACCAAACAAAAAATCATACACTTCTTCTTGTACAAACAGATTATTAATAGCACAAGTTTTCTTAAAAAGCAATGGTGGATTTGCTTGTTTCAAAAATCAACTGTAAAGCAAAGTGGAATGGCATTCCTTGAATCTAGGTATAGAGAAGTCTGATGGTTAAGGATAAGGTTTCTGCAAATGGGATTGCAACGAACCCTTCAATTCCACAAGGCAGGCTGGATTTTCCTCACAACCAATTAAATTCAGTAGATTCTGGATAGAAAAGAAAATGTCATTGCCTAAGGCCCCATGGTAAGCCAGAGCATTTTGAGTTTTAATGGGTTTGGGGGCCAAAATTACCTTTTTGAAAACTGTAGCCCCACCAACCTCCGTAAAAATCAGTACGGATTCTTCATCTCCTGACAGGACAGGATCCATCACCTTATACCTGGTAGCAAGAGGGCAAGAGATTCTATATGCTTCTACGACCACCTCAAATTTTTCAGGACTCAACCCTTCCTCTCATGCTTTTCGAGGTAGTTAGCTTTTTCCTTCCATAACAGAATAAGAGTTCTAAAATCAATAAAAAGATCGTTAATCTTAAAAAACATTAATCTAAGGTGATGTTTTTCAACTCAAGTAGAGATGGAGAAATATTATCTGTGGATATCACGTTCTTCCAATTTCATTTGTCAGCTATGGTTTTAGGATGTAATCCGAGCTGCAATTTAGTAATTCTATTGCTGCTCCACTTCAATAAACCGAGAAAAGTAAGGTCAGTTAAACTGGATTCCCTCGAAAGAAAATAGCCTCACCATTGAGGCTTGGCGTTTGAGGTAACCTCAAGCCACCATCAAATCACGAGCAGCATTGCATTTTTCATTTTAGCATCATCGTGACTAGTCAGGTACGCACAACGGAAACAACCTAGTAATATAATACTAAACACGTATAGTTTTAAATTGTACTCAATTCAGCAAGGAAAGATAAAACAGTGCCAGTAGCCTATCCGGATTCCAGAATCCAACTATAATAACTAAGAAACCTGTAAAGAGAACTGATATAATATATTGATCCAAATCAAAGTACCAGCGATAGTCTTTTACCATCCATTAATCTATACGTTTTAACATCAATTATTTTCCCATCATGGGATCTAAATCATAAAGACAGAAAGACATCATGAGTTTGTAAGATCGGCAAATTCAGAATGGCTTCAGCATCGCTTCAGCAGCACAACTGCAATAACCATAACTGCCAGAGAAACAAAATATCCACACATATCAATGTTGAACATTGACCCCCCATCTTCTTTTGCATCTGCAGATGCTTTTTCAGCAGCAGGAGAACCAAAAATTTTGTGAAGATAATCAGACACATTATTCACCATCTCAGCAACAGTTGTCTTAACCCTCTGCAGAAAATCTGATACAGATCTTCCACTGCTTTCTTCACTTGCATCAGGGAAATCTTCAAACTTTACAGTAGATTCAAAACTTCTAGGAGATTCTTGATGCTGATACTCATGTAACTCAGCATCTGCTACATATCATTTAGTTTAGACCCGTATGAAGGAAAAAAAAAAAGAATCACAAAGAGCAGAAATCCTTACCAGTCTTCTGAGATTGCAGGAATTCTGTCAGAGCATCATTTTTCAGCACAGCATTCCACACATTTGGATCAGAAGCAATTGAAGCAACAACAGACTGTGCACAGACAAAATCATAAACTAAAAGGAAAAACTTCACAGAAATTGTGGACAGATTTGACATGTTGCAAACAAACAGACTGTAAAGAGAGGAGACAGGGCAAGACCTTAGCTGCAGGGTTTTCACTGAGCAACTGGAAGGCCTGAAATGCATATTTTGGTGCCGACGCTTTGGGGTCTAGGGTGACACAGCTTTTAGTGTCCGCATGCTCAGAGCTAGAAGGCGATTGCAGGGCAGACATCTGATAAGGTGGATATTGATGAGAACCACCGGATCCGGTAGACCTCGGAGATGACAGGAAAGACCTGAAATTTCATATCCAAATGGAGAATGAAACACGATTCAGCACTAATAAGAGACGAATTGAATGTAAAATGAGGTAATTCATACTCCAGTGCATCTTTCAAATCATTAGTTGCTTCCTTGGCCTCCTCCAGGGTCGGAACACCGCCGAACACGAGCCGACCAATTGGCTCGCCAACAACATCCACCTCCTCCTCAACGCAGTCCCAATCATCGACAATATCCGAAGATACCTTATGGACAGGCGCGACGTCAGCAGATACCTCGCCCTGCGACGCTGCGATTGCGGAAACTGGACGTTTTGCGCCGCGGATCAGGGACTGTTCTGCCGGCTGGGCCACCTGAATACCCCCGCGGAGTCCGTGATTCAGCACTCCGATGCCGGCAACTTTGGCCGCTGCCCTCATGACTCCTCCGCCCATGGTCGAGAAGCTGAGAACTCCGATTCGTTTCCTTCGAAATTAAGAGATTGGATAACAGAGAACGCATAAAGCGGTGATCCCGACGGGCATTTACATTTACGCTACTTTTACAAGCGTCAGACACGATTTTTCATTTCATTTTTTTTAAAAAAAAAAATAGGGATAAGGATATTTTTTAAAATTTTTTATATAATTTTTATATATAATTAAATAAATAAATATATTTAATATTATAAGTTTTAAATAATATAAAAAATTATTTTGAAATTAT